TGGCTGGGCGAGGGCGGAGGAAGGCAGGAGAAGGGGATGGAGAGGGTGGGGCAAGAGAAGGGGTGGAGTGAGAGAGGGAGGAAGGGACTGATGATGGGGCCTCGTGCAGGGAAGCGGCATCTGAGCTAGTCGTGGACCTGATAAAATTAAGGAATAGGAAGGAGGTGATTTACAAATAATTTATTGTCACATACAATTGTTTCAGTAATGTGTCCTCATTATTTGGAAGGAGGAATGTTAACACAGTGACAGTAAACATATGTCACTTACTTGTGCCACAAATGTAGAGAAAGTAGTAATTTTTTTTGTCCAGATTAATTAATTGATTCAAAAATACAATTAAAAGTAGCCTGGCTAACGTCAGACCACGTCTCATTGACATTGAGACGTGGTCTGGGAACCACATGTTCATTTTCTCGTATTTGAGGCGTGGTTTACGAATGCCCAGAGCCGTTTATTGGGTGCTACGAATGTCTATCAAATGTGCCTGTACGTAGCTCATAGCCAATCGTTTCAATTATATCAGATGACGGATGTAGAACGAAAGAAATTAGACGAGGAAGAAGACGATGGGTCAGAGATTTATTTGCGTTCTAAACTACTTAGAACAGTATCTAAGGCTGCATCGAAAGGTAACTTCGCGTCTGCTGCCATGTTTGATCCATAGGTATAAATAAACTGCTTCGGTGGGTCGCATAAACGTCGTCATCGTCTTGCTGCTCCCTCCCCGTTCTGTGATTGTTCTAATTTTCTGAATTAAGATTCGTTTGAATCTTTTTGAGTGGCATAAATTCAAAACTATTTGGGTGATACAACTGTCCTCCTGATATTGTAATGAAGAAAAAAACGTATTAAAGTATGAAATTATTGGAAAAAGAACCGTATTAAGTAGTTTGGCATAATCGTTTCTTATTATTTTTTAGAAAAAGTATTGAATAAATATTTGAAAACTATCAAGGTCATGTGGTGCAACCAACATACAAACCGATATACAAATGAATGAATCATGAACTTATAACGAAGCGAGGGCCCTTGCAGATTTGTTTTAAATCTGCACAGGTCAAAATAAGGTCATAAGTAAAATATATTTTTTCTTATTGACCTTGAATGTGTGTCAAGGTCATAGTCTCTAAAAATATTAGATCATTTGACTTGTTTATGACAAGGCAAGTTTAGTTTATAAAATATCATGTGGTGCGACTCCCCCAAAACTTTGTGAATTATTAATTCATGATATTTATTTTAACACCAGACTGATTTAGAGTATTTAAACTAAAACTTTTGTTTAAAATAGTTTAAAAGTTTTTCCATATGAAAATAACATGAATACATTTCTAAGAACGTGGCTTTTTTTTATTCTTTACTTTATCAGGGACACTCTTATTTGTCATTGATCCAGAGAGTAAGAGAAAGTTCAGAACACTGACTTGACTGATGCTGCACTGGGCCAACGAGCTCCCAACTTGGCAAAGTGTTTCCGTGGAGAATTTATCCACAAGCCCACTGGGAAATGGAGCTTCCTAAATCGGGGACTGCCAGACTCCTCCATCTGAGGGAGTGAGAGAGGGAGGTGAGGGTTGGATGGGAGTGTGGAGAATGGAAAGATAAAATGGACAAAAATAAATTGAGAAAGGAAGGATCAGGATAAGTAGGAAAAAGCAAGAAAGGGAAATGTCTTAACAGTCAGAGAAAAAAAGATGCAGAGAAACACCAGAAGAACATTGACATAAGATATCAATATTAGCCGTCGTGCACGACTTTAAAGTTGTAAAAGATTTCATTTCCTGGGTTTGTGTCATTGATATGTATTCCTGTCCAAAATCAGATCTCGGCAGTGAATGACATTCAGTAGACAAATGGCAGGAAAAGCTAACGTCTCGTTGAATAATCAGGACGTGCCGTGTCATACATTCTTCGCCATCTAACAGTCTGTGAGTAACAGAGCATTAACGCGGCTTGCAGGGAATGCCACAAAGTTGACGGCAGGCGGTGAATAGTTATGGCTCTAAGAAAAAGATTTATTTCACATTCATGTCTACATGTCTAATGAAAAGCAGAGGTTTGGCACTGTTGCTCCTGAGCTAAGCAAACTCGTGGAAGTCAAGTAAGAGTCAAGTGGCTTCGCCAAGAGGCCATGACGAAGATATCAACCAACATGAAACTATCACTGCTGAGGATCAGCCATGCAGCCAAACCACATTCTATGAATATCATTCTTTTTGTACTTTGATTAAAAGCGCTGAACGTCGGCTATACATAATAACATACATGTTTTTGTCCTCCGCCCTCACTGTGGACTTCACCTCCATGTATCCTCGCAGACAGACGGGGAAAACCCCTGAACAGACCCCCTAAGTGTCAGCTGCCCTCTGTCGATCCTCAAAAGTGAACTTCACTTTTAATATGTTGACTCTGTGACCATAATTGATTTCATCACATTCTACAAAGTTAATGGTGGATGTAGAACAACCAAGACACAAAATTTACTACATTTGGTTGGGAAAGGTTTTCAGGATATGCTGACTAAAGCTCCAAACCTGTCATTTTGCATCAGTAAAATGGCTTTTCTCACCAGCGGATGATCTGAATGCGACTTACCCACTGTGACGGGCTTCCTCTTTATAACAGGATAAATCTTCGGAATGGCTGTTGTTGTTTGTGAAGTGTATTATAATAATATAAAATAAATACCAGTGGAGGTCGGCTCTGTCTCTCCTTATTCCAGAATAATTAGGCTTAAATAGTCCATTTTCTGCATGAGGCCTTGCTTAGCTTTACCGGAATCTGTCCTTTCACACAGTTTTTAGCATGTCTTTTTCATTTTCGATGTAAAAGTTGTTCTAGAAGGGTCCTCTAGTCCTTATTCTTGCTTTCTATTTCTTTCTCGTTTTCTTTCTCCCCTTTTCTGCGTCTATAGATAGAGAAGCAGGCCCATTGTTCTAAATGACAGAATTTCCTTCCTCCCCAATGGACAACACCTATATCCTGAGAAAAAGAGAGAGAGAGGGAGACAGAGAGAGAATATGAAATATACACATAAAGCAATGTCAAAGAAACTGATGTAGGCCTATGTACAAAACGCAAGACAAAAAAAATTTAATAAGCACTCGTCAGGATATTTAATAGGCCTATGTCCATACAAAATCAAAACGGCGACGGAAATTGTCTGAGAGTAGAACTCTTAGTCAGGGTAGACGCCATATTGAATTTTACTTGGATAAAAAAGATTGGGGGATAGACTTACAGTATTTACAATGGTATTCGCTGTATAAAGGGCCTAGATCACATGTCATTTTCAAAACTCAAAATTGTTTTATGGAGTTTCGTTTGGCATGCTGTTGAACAGCACTACAGTCCATTGAACGTACTTTACTTCAATCCCTCACAGCTTCGTTTTCATTCCTGTCAGAAATTAAATATGGTGCTACCCTAACTAAGATGTATGGGGACAATCCTCAGGAAATATAATACATCTGAAAGAACTGAAACAGTATATATGTTTATTACCTAAAAGAATGGGCACAAGATTAATTAGCACTGGCCTCAGCATGTTTTAGCCAACGCTCTTTGGTTTGTGTTGTAGGGCTTTTGAAAAAAAAAGAGGAAGCAGGAAACCTGGGACAGGATGTCAAAGACAGAGAGGCACCTGTAACCTTTAACCTTGTCAACAAGAGAATGATGTGTCAGGAAAGAAGAAGCATTTGTATCCGTATATGTGAATGTGTGTATATCCTATTTGAGTGTATACAAGAATAAGAAGCATTTGTATGAATATACCAATACTTAGCCATTGTTCTTGTTTAAAACCCAAATCTACGTAAATTTAGTGAGGTTTATTCACGAAACAAGAATAAAATAGTAAAATAACTATTGTATATAATTTAGCTTTTCAAGTAATTTTTCTTTCAAGGAACATTCAGCTATAACAATTTTTAAAGTGTAAAGCAATTATGCTGTTCTACGTAACATAAATACACACACACACACTCACATGCACCGTGTCAGACCAAAAGCTCTAAGAGCAGTTGGTCTCTCAGACAGGAAGCACTGACAGCAGGCTGTGAAGGCTCCTGTGCGTCATTCAGACTTGTCCCTCCATGTTTGTTTTTAGTGTGTAAGTGAAAGCTCTTCCTGGCTCCTGGTCAGAGGGAATGGGTTTGGAATGAAGTGTGCATACAGTAGCACACGCTTTCTTTGGTAAAAAAAAAAAAAAAAAAAGTTCTTATACATCTCTCTCACACTCCAACTCCAGCTCGGGAATGAGAAGATGGTTTGGTAGCCAGCAGTGCCCTACAAAGGCAGAGGACAGTACTACACTGCGTTAAATTATTGTTCCCTAGTTAATCTAGGTGCTGTGTGCACAGATTTCTTAACAGATCATTATTGGTTTATTAAAGCTACAACTGCAAAAAACAATACATTTGTCAGAAAATAATAAAGAAAAAATGCTCCATTGTACACACAACTACAACACAAAGCTCACAATATATAAAATATATTCAGAAATAAATGAATGCCCTGCTCCAGACAATGGATTGATTACAAAAATATATAAATACTAAAAGAAACATTCTTTACAGAGATGGAAAGGTTCTGACCATACAATGGTATGCTGAAGGCCTTTTTCCACTTTATGATTTACACACTATTCTTATCATGCTCTTTTTTTAGCTTCCAGTGTTAAGTCTGCTAAAATGGTAACTGGTAAATGTCAATGTTAGTTTGTCATCAGTTTAACGCCCCCATTTTTATACTGTATATTGCAATTATTATTATTTTATTTATATTAGGTACTGACTGACACATTAGTGGCCTATTATTAATATTATTTCATATTATCGTTTCATATATTATTATTATTTTATTATCTTCATATTACATCTAAAGTTTCGAATAAACACTAGAGGAACGTTCATATAAATGAATTGTCTAAATAATAAATAGGCCTACTAATATTGGTCTCGTAAGCCCCGCCTTGCCTCATCCTCGTGCTCCCCTCACATACTTTGACTTCCCACAATTCAGTGCGCTTAGAAAGTCTTTCGAGAGGACGTTACTATAAGGGCACCGCAAAAGGTAGGCCTCAATATTTATATTTGTTTAGTCCACGTTTTCGTGCAATTGTTCATCTTGTGTAAGGTTTGTTGAAACTCTTTACTTTTACTCTATTGTCAAATTAATGAAATATCAACGGGTGGTTAACGAGAACGGTTCATTTGAGTTAGCGAGTTAGCAAGCGGGCTATTTAAGCCGGCTGACGTTACCAAGGTTATGTTACTTGAGGTAATATATCTGCTGTTTTAAACCTATTTAACGCGTTTAAAATTTCACTATTCCTTACATTTACTCTGAAAAATTAAAAGAGCTCTTTTGAAGTATAACAAGTTAGTTTTAAGCCTCGTATGATGAGACTCTGGCTGGCGTCAGTTCAAACTGTGACTGAATGTCACTCTCAAATGTTTTATTGCTACACTGGCCATCTACGACATTTGAGCAGCTCAGGCCCCATTGTGTACTTTAATTTAGCGTTACTTTGGTATGTTAATGTTTTCGATCTGTGAATGTTTATGTCACGCAGACCCATTATCTGCGACTGAAGATGGCTGATGTTATTGAGGACAAGATCAAGAACTACAGAACGGCTCCATTCGATGCCCGTTTTCCAAACACTAACCAGACGCGAAACTGTTTCCAAAATTACCTAGGTAAGTACAGTATTATATTATTATATGAACCATATTTGTACACAAAATGATGGTAAGTGCTTTCAATCTATAACCAAATGCATCATTAATGAAAGCGAGAAGTGCTTTAGACACAGACCTGTACAAAAGCATCAGAATGACTATGAGCCTTAGATGCTTTTCAACTGTGATTATTAATAATATACTGATCTCACAAATAGTTCCCTTGGAACACCCTGGATTTAAGAGTTTTAGTCAAGGTCACATCGGCGGTAAAGCTGGCTGGGTAGCAACAAACATCTGAAGTTATGAGCTATAATGAATCTATTGATTGTTTGAACACATTATGAATTGAGTAACTTGTGGCTGATGCCTTGGTTGTAGACTATTGACTATTTCTGGCTGATTTCAGTGCAGATTACTTACTGTTGTTTCTTTCTGTCAGACTTTCACAGGTGTAATAAGGCTTTGTCAAGCAAAGGGCAGGAAACGGCTCCCTGCGACTGGTATCAGAGAGTCTACAAGAGCCTGTGTCCAATGAGCTGGGTGAGTCTTAAAATAACCAAGTTATAACACTGTAGTCAACATCAAATCCAGATTGAGTTGGCTACATTCATCAGTGTGCATTTCATTCAAAACAATAATAAATATTGTTTTGAAATAAATGTCCTCTTTGCTGACATCACCAACCCCTCTATTTTTATTATAACACGTTTCTTCTTTTTAAATATATTTTTTTACAATGTATTTAAATACATATTGTAAATACACAGTTGTTTTTATAACTCCACATACTTTTTTCTATTTGCATAGGATTGACAGTTCAGCTGTGTCATTTGGAATTATAAAAGAATATAGACACTTTTTAGATAGGTGGCCACAACTAAAAAGGTGAAACCAGCAGGGGTGTGCCATCACAAATGGACACTTACCAATCAAGAATTTCATGTTGTAAACTACCATGAGAGAAAATGCCACACCATTATAAAGTGACACCTACCATTCCAAAATGCATTATAAAAACTGGCACCAACCATTCAGAAGTGTGCTGGACCTTGACACCGACTCTTCACAAAGCAAGAGTAATGTAGGTCTGTAGATATATTATATTATATTAAACTAAATGTCTATTATAATGTGGAAACAGCAAGTCAAGTACTTTATCAAAACATTTAGGCATCTCCAGAAAGAATGCATGATCATAATGTTAAAAATGGTTTTATTTCTTATGAAATAATTCCATAACATTATTTGCGAAATATTAAAGCCATAGATGAGAACCACTAACCACATATTAGGGATGTCCCGATCCGATACTCAGGATCGGTATCGGCTCCGATACTGCCATTTTTGCGGGATCGGGTATCGATCAGCATCGATCAGACGAGGCCGATCCAAATCCGATATTGTGGGTATACTATTATGTGTTATTGTTAAGCCCCACAAAAGGCACAAAAACATTCTAAAGTACCATAACGTTTTCGTGCACTCTATTATAAGTGTTCTGAAGCCATTATGTGAGATATAAATTAATATTTAAGTCATTAAATTCAAGTTCACGTAAACTTTTCCCTCTCGCGGCTGTCAGTCATTCTCCATTCAGCATTCAAACAGCGCGTCAATGATGAAGTCAATGATACAGTCAATGATGAAACTATCTTCAAGATGATTCAATGTTAATACTATTATACTTGATCTGTAAGATAAAGGTCTATGTTTTCGCATAAAACAACTTTATCTTGCTGGACTTTATTGCTGTAACTCAATCGTGTTACTCTCTACCGGGTGTCGGACGCTGTCGGTTTGATCACAACACTAGAGTCAGAGCACTATAATTGTTCTTCACGCGCACAGTAACTGAAATTTAAAACTGTTAAAAGAAAAGGCTCAATAAACGATTGCATAGATAGATACTGTATAATACACTGTCCATCAATATGTATCTCCGTTGTGCTTTGAACTTTTCAAAGCGGACTCGACGCGCTGCGTGCTGTAACTCCACGTGGCTTCAAGCGCATCATTCTCCGCTCGGGATGCGCATTAGCGCTTTGTGCCGCACTGTATTGGAGCCTTTCATATCATAATGCAGTGACGCAATTAAAGCTTATTAACATTAATAATTATTAATGTTGCTGCCTCATTAAATGGCTGTGCAATACACTTAAAACACGTCTTAATTTTATAGCAGATTTAGCTATATCTAAAATAATTATCTTTTTCATTTTTGTTATCTTGTTTTTCATGAATGTATTTTACAACAATAAAAAGAGCCATGTGTATTATCCACTAATCTAGTTTATAATAGCATTTTTGTCATAGATTATGATCATATATTTTGGGGATTTGTTGTTTATCTTTATAATGAAGCTGTCTGTATTAAGTAGATTGTGTTTAACACACACAAGAGTGATAATCAGTTTAACACACAGTTATAGAAATTCTACTTGATTTAAAAAACAAAAACTGTACTGGTATTTACAATGTAGAATGCTGCTGTTTAAATTGTTTTAACTTTAAACCTGTTGGTAGCTAACTAGCTTTAAGTACTGAAGTACCTGTATTTTCTTTCATTTATATATTTCTTTATTTTTTTTGTAGTGTTTGAATAAAGGGTGGCAATCTTTCATAATCAACTGTTGTTGTGGACTATATAGGAGGTATATTTTAGCTGGCTAATTGAGAAAATTGCTATATTTTTTATTAGTTTAAGAATAAAATAAAAATATCGGATTAATATCGGTATCGGCAAAAGCCAAAGCTGCGGCATCGGTATCGGTATCGGAAGTGAAAAAGTGGTATCGGGACATCCCTACCACATATTAAATTATATCTATATTTATTTGGATCAATATTAATCTGAATAATTTGTTTTTGCTTCCGTCTAACTCGCAAACAAATACACCACCTGTGTACTTCCTCAACTGTTGTAAGTTTTGGTTTGTCTTGCGCTGGCCAATGTTACACTTATACTGCATGCAGCATCATGCAAAAATAAAGGTTTACAATAACTCCAATACAGATGTGCCTCAAGCTGACTACATGTTTGAAAAATATTTCCGATTTGTAAATGCGTTTAATTGATACTTTTTTTTTCTTTTTTTTTAATCACTTAATTAGGATATTTATTTAAGATTTTGTTACAATTACATTAGTATAGCTGCTCAAATCAAATCTGTCAGTCACTACTGGAGACATGTTCCGCAACATGATGCAATCCATCGGCACGTCACAAGTTTTACTTGATTTTAATGTAATTTATTCCTGTGATGGCAAAGTTTAATTTTCAGCAACCATTACTCTAGTCTTCAGTGACAACACGATCCTTCAGAAATCAATTCTTCTTCAATATTTTGTGTAACTATGCATTTACAGGATTCTTTGAATAGAAAGTAAAAAAAAGCATTTGAAATGGAAATCTTTTGAAACAGTGGTCTCATTCACTAATAATTGGATTGTGGATTATACACATTTATGCGCACAGAATAACTTCTCACAAATAATTTCTGCCTAATTCACAACACATGTGTATGCACATGAATTTGTTCTTAATTCGTTGTAACATTAAAGAATTTTTCTAGGGGGCCGTTTACACGACTCCATTTTCAGCTATGAACGGAAAACTTTTTATGCATTTTGGTCTTTCATTTACACAATAGCATTTTAAGGGCCTGAAACCGCACTTTGGGAAACTGGTTTTAAAGTGCAAGTTTTTGAAAACCATACCGCTGTTTCCATGAAGAAAAAAAACAGTGAATTTGTGAAAACAAATTGTGACATCATGAGTATTACATGTTCAGTCTTAGACCAATTTCGAGCCTACGTCACAGCGCTAGCTGGAGGCAAAACAAACGGACAACTGGAGGCGGCCAATACAAACCAGCACATATTCGGCTACATAATAAGAAGCTTAAATTATTATTATTATTATTATTATTACAAAATCATCTTGTTGTGTTGTTGGGTGCAAGAATCGATGAAAAATGAATATGCTGTATCTGAAATTTTTATTTCTAGAAAATATTCACATCATTAAAATTGCACCGTAATGTCACTCTTTACATTGTCGTCTTCTCAGCGCTGGCTCGGCAGAACTGCGGATCGTACCACACAAGTCTTGAACATGACCATTCAGCACATAGTTATAGGCATCTAAAGATTTATATGCCCTCAGTTTTTCTTTAAGCTCGGTTTCTCTATCGCAGTGGTTCTCAACCTCTCCTGCAGGGACCCCCTGACACACCATGTTTCTGTTTTAACCCTGAAATGGCACACCTGATTCAATTAATTAAAGGCTTAATGAGTCATTATTAGAGTAGGAAGTAGGAATTAGTTAATTGATCAATTAGTCAACTACTCATTAAGCCTTCAATTAATTGAATCAGGTGTGCCATTTCAGGGTTAAAACAGAAACATGGTGTGTCAGGGGGTCCCTGCAGGAGAGGTTGAGAACCACTGCTCTATCGGATAGGTGTAGAAGTCAGGCCACTCAACCGAAGGTAGCGTTAGCGTTAATCCTGTCAGATCGTCCATCCATTGAGTGAGCGTGTACAGTACAGGTCAGCCAATCTGGTCCCGTCCGTTAAAATTAACTTTTGCAAATAACAATTGCGGTCCTGGACACTGAGTGACCTTGCACATTAAAATAAAATCGGATTTTCTCCAGTCATTGTTAAAAAACAAGCTAACAAAACTTGCAAACTAGCGTTAGGGAAGCGGCCAGAGGGATCGTTCTGCGGCCACCTAAGCTCCGCCCACAAAAAACGTCACCATGTTTACCAACTGAAAATTGGTCTATAGGTGCGTAGTTTCTTTCTTTAGTGACCTCGCCTAATACTTGACTGGCATGATCTATATCTATGTATAAAATGTTATGTAAACATGTTTATAAGGCCACCAAAAGTATTTGATGTTTGCATACAAGTGTTTTTAGTTGTTCCTACATTTTTTCGTAAATTTAGAATGTTTTAGAACGGAAGTTGATTTGTGTGTATATGGTTAGTGAATGAGACCCAATGTCTTTCTCATTTTTGACCAATTCCTGAATAGACACTTGTTAAAGTCTTTGTGTAAAAGTATTAATTCATTTCAAACATTTGAATGGTAGTGTGTAAATCATCCACTTATATAATACAATAACTACAGCAAGCAGAGAGTTGCTCAGACATAAAATCATAAGCAAATATCTTGACTGTCTTCCATTTCATTTTTTTATTTTTATTTTAAATCTTTAACATTATTTGCAAGAAAAGAGGCTGAAAATGAGTTCACCTGCATACTATTTCAGAAAATGAAGAAAATAAACCTAAAGGAAGTGCCTTCAACTCCACAAAATGGTCTTTCATACATAATCTGTCAAGTGTGGCTATGACAGGGTATTAGCCTTTAAAAAAAACGTTTTAGTACATGAAACATGGTAAAGTTTGTCTCTTTAAATGTACAAGAACCTCCATGACTCATTCTGTTTTTACCCTTTCAAAATGTGGCTGTGTAACAGCATACTTTGAAGAGGTGTCACTAGTGTAAAAATTCTTGTAGCCATACTTGCAGACAACAGTGTTACTGGAGATCCATCCAGTAGTTTTGGTATTTCACCATTATTAAGTAGATGAATGTTGCCATCGCTGCAGACGTTCATTAGTCACCAAAATATTGAGAGACTCGGATGTAAACTTTTTTTTTTTATCAGTCAGATGTCATTCTGCCTGACTGACGTCAGGTAATAACTAGAAATGCATACAATTATTGGCAGCAGGGGGTTCCCATCCTGATCATCATAATGAAATGGCCCTTATTCAAAACATTAGGAGTGTAGAGAAGCAGCTTAGTTTAAGTAAAGAACACTTACGGTAAATGACATAATGGATGATACATCTGAAGTCACAAAACACAAAATCCTGAAATTTTAGGGAGGATCATAAGTCAACAGTTTTCTAATATATAACCTGATGTAATTGCTCTTTTCCTTTCCTTTTATGCAACAAGACACAAGCAATGACTGTGAAATGTGATAAGATATGAAGGGCTGCGGCTGGGATTATATTTAAAATACAATGTCTTCTTGTTTTTGTTCTGTCCTTTCTTCAGGTGGAGAAATGGGATGGACAGATTGAGGATGGAAGCTTCCCTGGAAAGATCTAAATGTTCGCTGTTACCTTAAATTCATGAACTCCCCACCTTTTTGTAGAGTACCTCATAATATATGATCCTATTTTGATGTCGTCTTTTGCCCGCTGGAGGATGAAAGGTCATTCAGAGTGCACCTCCGAATCATGTGACCTTTTGTCCTTTAGCATTTTGAGGTCCTACATAAGCATCAGCTTTGTCGCTCTACAACTTACTGTTAAAAATTACAAAATAAAATCGCACAATTCCAATTGATTTCAATGGTTTATTTGTGTGGTTTTTTTTTTAAATAAGGTGCAAACGAATTATAGTTTATACTGACTATTTCTAAATTAAACAGTCTATTAACCAGCATACTAAGTCTGACCAGTTGAAAATTGAGTCATTTGGTGGCTTTAGTAAGGTGTAGAGTTATGTGCTATTGATGTGGTGGTGTTTTTTTTATTTTATTTTTATGGGTGTATATGTTTTTTTGTCAGATTGCACAAAGTTTAAGTTTGCAGATAGTTGATGACCACGGTCCACGGTGAATTCTGTTCCTTCCACATTCCTTATTGAATTAACACAAGTATTAAGATACTGGATTTAGGCATATAGAGTTCAAGCAATGATACAAAGGCTAATTCAGTTTGAACAGACAGGATGAGGTTAAGTGAAATCAGCTTTACAGTCTATGTTAAGAAGTTAGGAGGTTCTATATAAACCGTTTTAACAGCTTTATTTAAACGGCTGTTTAATCCTGCGGCTTGAAGTCATCGTGCTCTCGGCTTTTAAAACACCAGATGTCGGTAAAATAGCATGAATTGGTACTTACTGTGACGGCAACCATTACTAAGACTTGTGAAAATGTAGCAATTGCAGTGACAACATACTAATTGCACAGCGTAGGCTACCTAGAAATTCCTCTATTTCTATATCTTTAATATCTGATGCAAACCATGAGGGCAAAAGGACACACTGGAAGTGTATAATCAAGGTGAGCTTCAGTTTTCTTGTTCACAATGCAGTGGATTTTGAAATTATATTGCCCAAAATAGAATATCAATTTAAATTTTTTTTAACGTTTTTTAATTTTCAGAACGATATTGTAGATAGTGGTGTGTGTGTCTATTTATACTGAAAAAGATGATCAAATATTTAGACACTTCATATACAGGTCCTTCTAAAAAAATTAGCATATTGTGATAAAGTTCATTATTTTCCATAATGTAATGATAAAAATTAAACTTTCATATATTTTAGATTCATTGCACACCAACTGAAATATTTCAGGTCTTTTATTGTTTTAATACTGATGATTTTGGCATACAGCTCATGAAAACCCAAAATTCTCAAGAAGTCTAAAAAAATTAGCATATCATGAAAAGGGTCTCTAAACGAGCTATTAACCTAATCATCTGAATCAACTAATTAACTCTAAACACCTGCAAAAGATTCCTGAGGCTTTTAAAAACTCCCAGCCTGTTTCATTACTCAAAACCGCAATCATGGGTAAGACTGCCGACCTGATTGCTGTCCAGAAGGCCATCATTGACACCCTCAAGCAAAAGGGTAAGACACAGAAAGAAATTTTTTAACAAATAGGCTGTTCCCAGAGTGCTGTATCAAGGCACCTCAGTGGGAAGTCTGTGGGAAGGAAAAAGTGTGGCAAAAAACGCTGCACAACGAGAAGAGGTGACTGGACCCTGGGGAAGATTGTGGAGAAGGACCGATTCCAGACCTTGGGGGACCTGCGGAAGCAGTGGACTGAGTCTGGAGTAGAAACATCCAGAGCCACCGTGCACAGGCGTGTGCAGGAAATGGGCTACAGGTGCCGCATTCCCCAGGTCAAGCCACTTTTGAACCAGAAACAGCGGCAGAAGCGCCTGACCTGGGCTACAGAGAAGCAGCACTGGACTGTTGCTCAGTTTTGCATGTCATTCGGAAATCAAGGTGCCAGAGTCTGGAGGAAGACTGGGAAGAAGGAAATGCCAAAATGCCTGAAGTCCAGTGTCAAGTACCCACAGTCAGTGATGGTCTGGGGTGCCATGTCAGCTGCTGGTGTTGGTGCACTGTGTTTTATCAAGGGCAGGGTCAATGCAGCTAGCTATCAGGAGATTTTGGAGCACTTCATGCTTCCATCTGCTGAAAAGCTTTATGGAGATGAAGATTTCATTTTTCAGCACGACCTGCCCTGACCTGGCACCTGCTCACAGTGCCAAAACCACTGGTAAATGGTTTACTGACCATGGTATTACTGTGCTCAATTGGCCTGCCAACTCTCCTGACCTGAACCCCATAGAGAATCTGTGGGATATTGTGAAGAGAAAGTTGAGAGACGCAAGACCCAACACTCTGGATGAGCTTAAAGGAGAACTCCGGCGCAAAATGAACCTTTGGTCTAATTACACATTGTTACCTAGTCAACCGTTATCTGAGATTTGTTTTCATGATTATCGAATGTAAATAGTTTTATCTCTAAAAACAGTTTAGCCTATAAAGCTAGTATAACGCTAGTATATTGGGCATGGAGTAATGACAAATAAAAATCGCTTGTTAATACCACTAACAAGGCTCAAAATAGCCCCACACTAGCACGGTAGCATAATGAGGGTCCCTACCTTCAAACCGAAGCATTGAGAACTTTGTCAGTGTCCAGACAGTTAAATAAGAAGATATTTTATACATACAGTCAACTTCGCGTATACAGGCAAAAGCCATCGTAGATCAACTTGTAGAGACTGTTTTTCAAAGAACGCCAATCCAAGTGCGCTGGTGAGATGTGAACAAGCTATAAGTTGTGATAAGGTGAGTGCGAACAGCAGGCTTGGATCGGAGTTCGTAGATCGACTGGTAGAGACTGTTTTTCAAAGATGGCTTCTGCCTTTATACGCGAAGTTGACTGTATGTATAAAATATCTTCTTATGAAACTGTCTGGACACTGACAAAGTTCTCAATGCTTCGGTTTGAAGGTAGGGACCCTCATTATGCTACCGTGCTAGTGTGGGGCTATTATGAGCCTTGTTAGTGGTATTAACAAGCGATTTTTATTTGTCATTACTCAATGCCCAATATATTAGCGTTATACTAGCTTTATAGGCTAAACTGTTTTTAGAGATAAAACTATTTACATTCGATAATCATGAAAACAAATCTCAGATAACGGTTGACTAGGTAACAATGTGTAATTAGACCAAAGGTTCATTTTGCGCCGGAGTTCTCCTTTAAGGCCGCTATCGAAGCATCCTGGGCCTCCATAGTCTCGCGTAGCCAGACCTTCAGACTGACGGCTGAAGGTCTGGAACTCATAGCAGCTTTCTTTGGCCAAGGCCCGCCCATAAGGCCGTTTGACCGACATGTCAAACAACCAATTACAGTTCGTTTCGTTCAGCCTCACGTTTCGGTGCGTGGAAATGTCCCCACAACAACAGACCGGCGTGCAACAAGTCAGTCAGCATAGAAAATCAAAGGAGAAGAAAACTTCAAGAGTCTATGCTGTGAACCTCGCATACTTTTGAGAATCCTACGTTTAGCTGATCTTGATAAATGCTCATTGTCACTCATGTAAACACAACAGTTTTTCTTCCACAATCACACGTCTGCGCTTTGTTTCCCGGCGGACCGAAAATAAACGCGACACTCGCGCCCCCTGGAAATCCGATAAAATTCAACCAATCAGATGACGACTTCGACATTCCTGAAGTGTTTCCAGTTAAGTGTACCATATGCATCAGACGTTTAGCCAACGTTCCGTGGGCGTGACGTCTGAGGCTGAGACTAGGGCCTCCATAACACCTCAGCAGTGCCACAGGCTGATTGCCTCCATGCCACGCCGCATTGAAGCAGTCATTTCTGCAAAAGGATTCCCGACCAAGTATTGACTATTGAGTGCATAACTGAACATAATTATTTGAAGGTTGACTTTTTTTTTTGGATTAAAAACACTTCTTTTATTGGTCGGATGAAATATGCAAATTTTTTGAGACAGGAATTTTGGGTTTTCATGAGCTGTATGCCAAAATCATCAGTATTAAAACAATAAAAGACCTGAAATATTTCAGTTGGTGTGCAATGAATCTAAAATATATGAAAGTTTAATTTTTATCATTACATTATGGAAAATAATGAACTTTATCACAATATGCTAATTTTTTGAGAAGGACCTGTATATGGGAAACTTGACTTTTCTGCCCTTTTTGTTTGCTATTGTAGGTTTTGATTTCAATTTACATAAGCATCGACAGTCTGTGATGCTCTAAGGATCGCTATAGCCTACAGGTGTACTTTTTTAAACAAGTGATTAAAAATGGCAGGCTCGTGGAGAATTTGTCTTGAAAAATTCAGAGTGTGGGCTACTTCATACTTAAAGAAAACCACTTGGTGATCTCAGTTCTCAAAATGTTTCCTGTTCCTGTTGTCTGTCTTAACACAGTCAACTAGTCTAGCGTTGTGTATTTAATTTGCAATGCCTAAAAGACAATTTCACTGAACAAATGAAAGCTACCCTGAGCGTAGGCAACGAAACATTTGTTATCACTAGATCACACACTTGTATGAAGTGCCAGCAAACCCCGCAAATTGTCTAATCTCGGAAGAGAGAACTACTTGTTTACAAACAAAAAAAAGACGTACTTTTCTCACAGAAACACTCACATGACAACAATGACTATTGTCAGACAGCAGGGTTTTTTTTTTCTGGTGGGATGTTGCGCGAGAGAAACAGAGGCGCGATTCACCTCCAGTCTACTGTGGCGATAACGCGCGAGTAACCAAATAAGGACATAAAATAGAGACGGCTCTCAAAACATCATTAGCTGCCTATCTAGAAAGAGTTATTAGGCATCATAGGCACGTTCCGATTGAGAGCAACTGCTCGCGCCTATGATGCGGTCTATGTAGGTTGCTCTAGTTTTTGAGATACGGACAGGATTTCCAACGAAAGGATGTTACGTGACGTGAGTGACTTAAAACTATGTTCTCGTTAATTTCTGTGACTCAAATATTACAGAAATAGGGGGAGCATGGCTGTGTGAGTGTGACGACAAAAAAGTGCAACGTGCTGGTGCTCATGTCTCACTCAGCTTAAAACCCACGAGCTCGAGAGCGTTTCATCACACACCAGCAAATACCTGATCGACGCACGAGCTCTGCAAGCATAAACGTAAATATTATTATTTTACATTATCCTTACATAGAAATATAACATACTATATGTAGCATTGTAATGATCTTTTATTACAATATTGACTAAAATATTGCTTCATATCTACACGTTATTTAAAATGTTAAAAACGTTTAATTGTTGCCTTAAATCTTTATTAAAATAACCCTGAAGTGAAGTATATTATACTTTTTTGTTCACATACAGATTTATTATTGATGAAGAAAGTAGAGAAACGTGTTAGTTGAAATGACAGAGATTGCTGTGACAAGTTAAAGGGAATGATGTTGTTTTTACAATTATGAAAAAAGTTTTATTAATATAATTATAAAATAAAATATAATACTGTGTTTGTATGAAATATATGATGTGTAAATGCAGCTATAACTTCTTGTGCATAACAAGCAGATCAAATGTCTTTAATCAAGGAACTGCATGAAGCTGTTATAAACTAAAGCAAGATTGATTTTATTCACTTGTAGAATGTTTAAAATGTCAGAGTAGGAATGTCACTGAAACTGTGTTAACCCATAAAACCACATTTGATCGATATAGAGAGGGACGATCTTGAGCTGACAGAGATGCCTCTTATATTTGACTTCCACATTTACATTGCACAATGCTGATGCTCAACTGTCATCTCAACTCAGCAGACATCCGTTGTAGGAAATCTACTTTTTTTTTGTGGTGGTTGTTTATGAAAACATAAAAGGTTTCATTCCTTTGCATTACTGAAAACGATTCTTTGTATTCTTTTTTTCCACCACACTAGAGACCTTTTTCAAATACGGATTTGTGTTTATCCATTTAAGTTTGGTTTCGCTGCAAGAAGAGGAAGAACAGACAACCTCCGTCTCAGTTGCATACTGGCTTTCGCAACAAAGAGCAGAATGGAGAAGATGAAAGACAGTAAGGTAGAGGGTTTTTTTCTGTCAGTGTCATTATGTACAGAACAAGTTGTGATGTTTAGTTTTCTTCTTTATGATTGATAAGAAAAGGTTTTACTATCACAATGACCCTTATGAAATCTATCTTTTTTTAACCAGTTTTCAATACATCCCTTGTAAAAGAAGTGTGCTTAATTGTTTTGCACTTAACTTCAAATCTTAAAAGTAAAAAAAAAGTTCTTGCAGATAACATTAATGAACTAAATGGCCACTTAAGTGTACTTAAAGAGAGAACACTTTCAGAACACTTTATTTTACAGTGCCCTTGTTACATGTTACATGTAGTTACTATAGTAATAACTTTAAATTATGCATAATTACATGCAACTAAGTCTAAACCAAACCTCATCCTAACCGTAATAATTAATTAATATTACTCAGTATTTAAAAGTATAGACTGTAACAATAAGGACATCTTAATAAAGTGTAACCTACTGTTTCTTAACACACTTAAGTAGTATTTTTAATAATTATGTTTAAATAATCTTTTGTCATGCTTTCAAAAAGTACATTTATTATTTTAGTTTACAAATCAGCACACTTTAACCGTATTTCAAAGACAATAGAAGTACTTATGACATATAAAGATACTTAAGTCCCTCTTAAGTGGGTCAGAAAAGCCCTCTTAAAGGTGCTCTAAGCGATGTCATGTGTTTTTTAGGCCAAAACATTTTTTGTCACATACAGCAAACATCTCCTCACTATCCGCTGGCTGCCTGTCCCCTGAACACACTGTAAAGAAACGCGATCTCTGTAGACAGCCCATGCTTCACAAACAGCACCAAAAACAAACTGCAGCGACCCGCTCCCCAAAACATAACAAACTGTTCCAGCCAATGACCGACAAGAAGGGTTTGGGGGTGTGGTTTGGGGGGTTAGTGTGCGGATGAGGAGGAGGGAGGGTCTAGCTAGCCTCCGTTTTGTTTGACAATAGTTCGAACGTCAACAAGAAGTGACGTCACCCAGGATCGCTTAGAGAACCTTTAAGTTCTGCTTATTGCATGTAATATAAATTTAAACTATAATACATTTTCATCTAATTGCATCTATGCAACATTGAAGTATATTCTTATTTCCTAAAATATATTTTTTTTAAATATGCTTTAAGTATACTTCTTTTTTACAAGAGATTACATGCAGAAACTATGGTCTTTTATGTAATATTAACATCATCTGCTTATTATATGGCAATTTTGTAGTTCCTAGATGTGTTTAGGCTATTATTTTTCATAATATGTGCCATAGTTTGTAGTATAGATAGATACCTCAATTCTAACCATGGTAATGGGAAGCCACCCATGTGGTTCCTTTGGTGTTACATATTCACAGACACAATAAACTGTGCTTACCATGCAATAACTGTAGTAAATGTTCAGGGGATGACAATGGGCATCTGGGTTTGAAATGTAATGTGTTTTTATTGTAGATATACTGTAGCTTGTTTTAATTGCCAGTAGCCTGTGATTTATATACTTATTGTGTAATGTTTGTGTGTCCTGTCAGTTTTAGCGATAGCTATTCTTTTATATGTCTGTTCAGGCTATTAGTGTTCAATTGATTTGATTTGTCACCTAAATAAATATGACGTGTAGCTGTAGTGAGACATTTTTTGGCCTGCTTTGTCTTTGGAGGCTGTTTGGACCAAATCTCAACTGACTCTGATCCTAGTTCTAATCAAGGGAATCATCCTGGAATGTATGAGCCAATCTTGGATTTATTTCTTAGTTGGAATAACCGATAGGATTGCAGCATGTGAATTAAGAAACCGAGATGTGCAAAGCAGAACGATAAGGAGAAATGACTGTTCAGAGCAGGGTTTAGATGGCATGTTCAAACTTGAGCATAATATGAACAACATTCTGACTGGTTCTTACTTGTTTTGGAATGGACAGACAGAATGGAAATTCCCAATCCGAGTGTGCAATTTTGCATCCACTGGAGGTTATTACAAATCTATTAAGTGGGTCACTGAATGTGTTGATTTAATTAATAAGTGTGTTATGGAGGGGGTTCATGGTGGGATGTGGGGGTGCAAATGTGATCTGGTCTATCCTGATCAATAGAGATGAAAGATGATGGATCGCCCTTTAGCTCTGGCTCCTTACAGATCACATGATGACACCCATTTCCTTGTTCACTCCTCCAGGAATCTGCCGCTGTTTGTGTGTGCATGTTTGGGTCTGTTTAAGTCTGTATCATCACATCAGACTGCAGAAGTTCCTGTGCATGGGTTTTTTGTAACAGACATTTGCCAAATATTGCATGCAGTAGTGAGAAAGTTAATCACTCCACTACAGATTACCATTTACTTCATGAAAAACGACATTACAAATTACTTAGTAATAATAGTTAGTAATTTTAAGTTACTCTCTAAAAGGCCCTACAAACCTATAAAAATACAAATGTCACCCAATTGAACAGGCCATCAGATTATTGTTCTTTCTGACCCATTATTTGCTGCTGTACGGAAGTAACGCAGCTCACAATTAGGTTGCTATTACTACTTTTAATTTGACATAAGAGGGAGGAACAGACGTCAACTATAGAGAAGCTATAGAGTTTGAGAACCACGGTTAGGAAAGAAAATGACACATTGGGACATATTCCAGTTATGTCAACTGATTTATGCAACTTTGTTGTTCCACTTTCATACATACCCTGGGAAATTACTGAAATTACTATTATGTAATATATGGTTATAAGAATTTGTGTGCCATTCAGAATTGAATTGAGAATGATATTTAGATTTCTTCCTCTTGAATTGAGGTAGCAAACAGGATGCCGAATCGCATTGTGAATTTGACTGTATATTACTATTTCATAGCTGTAATTTTTTTTAAGATATGTCAGTGCAAGTTGCTTTCCGTTAAAACAGCTCAAACATGCATGTTAGTCTGTGTCATGAAAAAACAGAAGGAGACTGTATAAACATTTTAATAATTTATTGATAATGTTTTCTGTGTTTTTGTTTTTCACAATCTGAGAATATTTATTTTCCAGTTAAATTGGTTCATTTAAAAGTAGATATATCAAGCTTTATATATATATATATATAAATATATATATTATCATGTCTGTGAGGCAAGTATACACTGAGTTTTGGTTAGTTTTGTGTCTTGACTGAGACCAAGATGGCAGAAAGCGCATCCTAATTGTTTTTATTATTTTACACAAGCACAACGTTTTGTTGTTATTGTGAGTTTACAGAAATAAAAGTAAACCCTTTAAAGTTTGCATTTTTCTATTCTGTATGACCAAAAAATGACGGAGTATTTTAAGTTAAATGCAAGTCATGGCACCGGCGCCTGTATGTCATGCAGTAAACGCACTCTAGTCTCCACACAAACACTTATACGCCTAATAATAGGGCACATTTGTCTAGGTTAACATTAGAGCGAGTGGACTTGTTAAGTTTCTGCTACTTACATGTTTTAAGTGATAAGCCATATTTGATGTCGATGAATGATAGGCAAATGTTTGAATTTCCTGCCATTAACGATTGGTCCATCACAGATTGTGTGATTTCGCCACATCCTGTGGAGGGGTTTGTAGCCTACACATATATACTGAGAATAAACAAAAGAAACATACAGATATGGTTGTCCATACAATCAAATAATTAATCTCATGGTTTCCAATCAGTCTTTAGAAAGCAGAATAAAACAGTAATATTGTTAAATTTTGTATGTTTTCATTTGTATATATTTTATTTAATATATTAAATAATTTATTATTATTATTATATTTTCTCTGAGCCCTTTTCTGAACATTGAAGAGAAACAAAACTCTACTAAATGAAATATTATAATAGTATGTGTATTCCTTCTTTTTGTTCAGGGGAAGAAGGTGACATGCTATCTGCTGCTCTGCGTGTCCACGGCCGTCATCGGCTCGTTGCAGTTCGGCTTCAACACAGGAGTCATCAACGCACCCGATGACGTAAATGTTTCAATAAATGAGTAGCATTTTAGACTTAAAAAAAACAACGCTTCATCACTTACTTCTGTCTGTCTCTCTGTCGATGATCAGAAAGTGAAGAACTTCATCAGAAACGTGTCTCTGGTGCGCACTGGAGAGCCCATGGATGAATCCACACTCACAACAGTGTGGAGTGTCGCAGTTTCCATTTTCAATGCTGGCGGCATGATCGGATCTCTTAGTGTTGGCGCTCTGGTTGACAAGCTGGGGAGGTGAGAAAAGAGTGACCAAATTCAAAATCACACAATTTATTTGGACATAAAACAAATATAAAAGATCCTCTTGTTTCATCTCCAAAATTCTCTTTACAGACGGAAATCAATGCTGCTGTCCAACATCCTTGCTCTGATTGGTGGAGGCCTGATGGGTTTATCCAGCATGTTCACCTCCCATGAGTTGCTGATATTGGGCCGTCTGGTGATTGGTGTGTTCTGTGGTATGTGTACAGGACTGACACCCATGTATGTGGGTGAAATTTCTCCAACGGCACTGCGAGGGGCTTTTGGCACCCTTCACCAGCTCGGGGTGGTCATCGGCATCCTGGTTGCACAGGTTAGATTTTCCTATGGATAAATGTAAATAAGAGATTAAAGGGATCCCTCAAAAATGAAGATTAAACTAACCCATAAGGGTTTGAAATTAACACCCGCCAAATGCGGGTAAAATCAACTGTGGTGGGTAATGGGATCACTAGCCAATTTGACGGGTTACTTATTATGTTTACTTACTTTGCTGGGGAAGTTCATGTAAGCCAAATCTCTGCAGATTTAGCGCAAATACTCAACTCGTGAGTCATCGTGATATATTAATTACAGCATATTGCGCAGAATCTGTTACTTGAACATATACATCCCTACGCAACACATAACGGTGTGCTTGTTCATTTGCATTGAAGCAATAGCGACGATTAAAAAGCATTTGGTTAACAGAAAAGACATTGTTATTTTCCAACATCCTACAGTTTTTAATGTTCTTTGTACTGTTTTGATCTGTCCACCTAAAATACATTTTTGGTAATGAGGTTGAAAGAGGAAGGCTGGAGGATTTTATATATATATAAAAGATTTGACATAGTTAATCTGGTTTATTTTTATTTTTAATAATCTTTGCTATATAGAAGGTCTGAATGGCTGGCAACTTAAAAAAGTTGTAGCATAATTGGCTGGTGAATGAAAAAGTTAATTTCAAACCCTTTTCTTTTTTTCATGCAACTATAATGACACCAAAGCTTCCAAGCTGAAAAAAGATTTAAAAGCACCATACGAGTATAGTACAATTAGTCTATACAACTTGTGTGCTAGTATAGTCCTCTGAAGTCATATGATAGCCATGTGCAAGGGACAGGTAGAAATTGAAGACATTATTCCCTAAAAATCATATTCCCAAAATCAAGATATTTTCAATGAGCTCATTCACATCACAAAACTGGTCTGAATGATTTGTTCATGAATTGAACTGGTTCAGTTCACAAGTTCACTGACTCATTCACTAATTTCAGTTAATAATAACAAATTACTATCCTTTTCTCATAAAATGATATTGCATGGCTTCAGAAGATAATTTGGATCATTTTTATGATGGTTTTGGGTCCTTTTTGAAAGTTGAAAGCTTCAGTGCTTCCTTATTCGTTGTATTTTATGGAAAGTTTTCAGAATTGATCCTTTTATATTCTACAGAAGAAAGGAAGTCGTCTGGTTTTGTAACATACTGATTATACACTTAAAAATTCAATTGCAAATAGTTATAAATGGGTCATCTTTGTGGATTTTATGGTAGATTTTAGGTCTGGAGTCATTGCTAGGGTCTCAGTCTTTGTGGCCGTTGTTGCTGGCTCTGACGACGCTGCCTGCAGTGGTACAGAGTGTTATGCTGATCTTCTGCCCAGAGAGCCCTCGATACCTGCTGATCAGTCTCAACCAGGAGGATGAGGCACGCCAAGGTGAGACTGCTCAGGAGGACTAAAAAAAAAGTCTTTAGAAGCATCACATTTGGATCTAGAAAGAGATCTAAGAGACATGCGCAACACACCATTTAGCACTGCCTGAGCAATGTATTTACTCTTCCATACTGACTATGTTGATCTTTCTCTCTTCTGCTCTCAGTGCTGACACTTCTTCGTGGGCATTCAGATGTGGAGGATGACATTCGTGAGATGAAGGAAGAGGCCATGAAGATGTCTATGGAGAAGAAGGTTTCTATTCCAGAGCTGTTCCGTAACTCCGCCTACAGACAGCCCATTATTATCGCCATAATCCTGCAGCTGTCCCAGCAACTGTCCGGCATCAACGCTGTGAGTCTCCACACTTCCCCCATCAGTTACATAAAAAGTTTACATAATGATCTTTGATTAGCACATGACATCCTGTTAAACATCTTTATAGCCAGCAGTGCCTTGTTTTCCCAGGTATAAAATACATCTACAGTATAAAACAATATAAAATATATATACTATATATACCTTGTGAATAAAGTATATATATATATATATATATATATAAATAATGTCCATATTAATTTGAGTTGATTTGCTCATTGGCAAATTTTATTTTTCAGTCAATGGAATTTTTTTCTTGTTTTAAGCATAAACCTAAAAACTTTTTATGCTTACAACAAGAAAAACTATTTGCCAATGAGAAGTAAAATAAAGTTAACATTCTCTTTAACAAGTCATACACGAATGTATCTTGTTTTAATAATGTTCAGATATTTATTTTACTCGAAAACAAGACAGAAATACTGATTAATGAGTGTTTGTTTGAAGTGTTTGTCACTTTGTAAGAAATCCTTCCATATTTTCCCCTTGTCAACTCCCAGTATTGACATGAACTGTTCTAAATGTTAAACTGCTGCATTTCTGTACATTTTCCAGGTAATTTATTACTCAACAGAGATCTTCAGAAGAGCAGGTATCACTGGGCCAGTCTTTGCCACCATTGGAATGGGTGCAGTCAACACCATCTTCACTGTCATCTCTGTGAGTTTACACAGCTGAGCAAATATACTCACATAAACAAACATTTGAAAAGAACTGTACTGTAGGTAAACAGTTGTCAAGTTTATTTCACCACCCTTGAATTTAAAATGTCATGCCCTTATATCCGTTCAAATACTTTTGTGAGGGTGTCCTAAAGAACAGTGTGTTGATGTTCCCACTGCTTTGCTCAACAGCTCTTCCTGGTGGAAAGGGCAGGGAGAAGAACACTTCATATGATCGGACTGGCTGGAATGACTGTCTGTGTTCTGCTCATGACTATTTCTCTTAAACTTGTGGTGAGTTTTGATATACAATATATAATTAAATATATATGATCATTAAATGGGCCTACATGATAAACTACTGATCTTCAGAAGTGAATGGGATGGATTTAACAAGGGATTCGTTCATTTAAATATTAGAGAATAGAGACATAACATTTTTATTCATTTTTAAATTCATTCTCTTTTCTGATCTATTGAAGCCTGAAGTTGTTATACTTGATCAGAATGGCACTGCTATCTTCGAATCTGCATCTGAAGGGGTCAGTGTGTGATCTTACTAATGAACGCCAACTTATATTTATGTGAGATTTCATTCACTGAAGTGTACCATTGCTCTTTTTTTTCTCTCTACAAATGATTCAATTTCTGGCTAGCAGGGAATTTCACCAATCAGCATTCTGGCCATTCTGGCAGTTTTCGGATTTGTGGCCAGTTTTGAGATGGGACCAGGACCGATCCCATGGTTCATAGTGGCAGAGTTATTTTCTCAGGGTCCACGTCCGGCAGCCATTGCTGTGGCGGGATGCTGCAACTGGACCGCCAGCTTAATTGTCGGACTGTCTTTCCTACCACTATTGGTGAGAACCTTGTCACAGAATTCAGCTGTATCACATTTTGTATGGACACAAGAGCTAAACACATTATTATGACCATGCTTCCTTTCTAGAAACTGTGCGGCCCGTATGTGTTTATCATATTCCTCATCCTCCTCATCATCTTCTTCGTGTTTACGTACTTCCGGGTTCCCGAGACCAAAGGCCGGACGTTTGAGGACATTTCCAGTGGATTTTCCAATGCCGCAGGCTCCAATGCTGCCAGCTACACGTCTCCAGAGGGTGCCATTTCTCTGCCAGTGTCCCCGTCATCAGAGAAGTTTCAGATGACTGAGCTGACTGGACAGGAGAAAAGTGGAACAAACCTATAGAGAAACCATGATCTACACACTAAATGGACTCCTACAGCGGACAATAGAGAACAGATGCAGCTAAATAATGGGCATTATTACAAAGGAAATAGCTAGTACGATGGTGTTGAAAGCCTTTTTATAATTGGCAATTATAAAGTCATTATGAGGAAATAAGTGTTACATGTGGTTGCAGCTGCCTTTTGCTACATTGAATGTTTAGTCAGATATAGAGTTGTTGCATTTTTAAGATAACTTATGTGTGAGCACTAAGCACTTGTCCATAATCATGTGGAATATTAAACTTATTACTATGACTTATATTTAAATAGTTATTTAACAAATTTCTCATATTGCCCAAAGACTTAAATCAGACTGAATTTACGCACTAATCAGACTCACTGATAGCCTTTTAATACTTGTGCTGTTGTGGCTACTATTCAGGTCATGAGCATCTGGTCTTTTGTGCAAAGTAGTTCACATGTTCAGTGTCAAAATTCTGATTATTGATTAGTGACCTAGAGACAGAATCTAAAAAAGAATCATCAGTGTTTAAATGGTGTTATTCATCCCTAAAGTATTTCTCATGACGGTTGTCTGACTGAATGAACACTACGGACACAGGATCATATGAAAGTTAATCATGACAGCCCAGCAATCACAAGAACACGTTTATTGTTTAACATGGACCTATGTGCATCTCATATTTTCAGTTTTTAGTTAGACCCCTTTGTGGGGTAGTTAGGACTCTTTACTGTAAGTATTGCTCAACTGTGTAAATATATATATTGGTTTGTTTACATTTATTACTGCATTTTGTTGCACTCTGACTGCATGATTGAGATTTCGGGATTTTTTTCTGGATTTTTACCAATATGTACCAACGGTTTTTTTTGTTTTGTTTTTGTGAGTGTGTTTTATATATATTTATATATTTTATTATATTTATAGCTTATTAAATATAATTAATTTTGTTACCAAATTGTGATGTTTTTACATTGTTTTAACTTTGCTTCAAGCACAATGTCCTAAAAATGAGTATATTTAATACATTGAGCACTTGGAAGCATATTTTGTGAGATTGACCAGATCATTCCCGCATGATTTGATTTGACTTGCATTTGTGACTGTTTGCATCACAGGAACTCTGTACATATATTTTTTAGATGACTGTCATGTGTCATAACATGCATCCCTGTCATGAGACGTTGTATTATCCAGAAAAGTCACATATCAATTTCTTTATTTGTAAGTCAATCATGATGATAGTTTACTGTAATCTAATAATAGCGTCTTATTTATGTGAGGCTATTCAAATGCGTTTTAGAACCCTATGTAAAAGCTTTGTTCAAAATTAACTAAATATAAATAATGAGTAAATAAATAATCCTATTTTTGTTTTTAAATAAATCAATCCTTTTTCCAAAACATGTTTTTGTCCCTAATTCACTAAGTGACGTGACGTAAAGGCCAAGTATGGCAAACATGGAATTTGTCCTATGCATTTATCCCATCCAAGTTAGTGCACATTAGGAGCAGTGAGTAAGTTAGTGAACACACACACACCCACACCCAGAGCAGCGAGCAGCCAGCCATTCACCTCGGCGCCCGGGGAGCGAACACACCTGAACAAGTTTAGTGAGCCAAACTCAGTGGCCCAAGGCTGGATTTGAGGAACCATTGATGTGTGGGACCGGGAGTGGCATGGGTAACTTTGTCACAACGAGCAAGAAAGGTGACATGAAGCACGTTAAATCTCAAAACTTCGTGGAATCTCAGGTTAAAAAACTATGACAGAGGAGATGATCTGAGCGCGACAGAGCTCGTAATAAAACGAGAATCAACATTGGCTTGCCTTGCTGAGGGATTTGAAATGTTGTAAAACTGCGACGCGGAGATGGCGGTTAAAAACTGCATACATTTTGAGGAAGAACATTGTTTTGGTTGTGCTTCGGCTCTGTGTGACTGCGGATGGATATGGTAACATACTGCTCATAAAACATTCACTAGCCTACTAACTAGTTCAGCTTACCTGAAGACGGACCCGTCCCATACAGAGTTGTGAAGATATTTCATGGTTGTGTAGTGCTATGCTGGGTATTATTTTCAAAGAAGTACCTATAGCTTCAGGGTATGGGTCCGGGATCTCCCAGTCACGTGACCCCTAGCCGCGTGTCAGCCATTTTGACGGAATACATCCATCGGCACCTTCTTAGGCCCAATCCCAAATGGCACACTTCATGTGCACTTTCGGTCTTGTGGACTTACAATGGCTGCCGCGTGCGCGTGTCCGTTAAGTCCATGAGACCGCAGTGTGTCCCATTTGTCATTTTTAGATCTCAGAAGGGTGCTCGCGAGCGCCCCCTCTACGGTCAATTTGCGCCCTTAATGCGCACTTTTGCCGAGCCCGCGCTGATGCGGACTCCACAGCAGACTTCTTCCCGACATTCAAAGCGGCGTTACGTCGCGAAAGTGCGGACTCAGAGGAAGACCGCGAGTGCTTAGGGTTCCATTTGGGACAGGGCCTAATACTGTCTATGATCGGCACTCAGCTAAGCTGAACTATAGTAGGTTAGTGAGTAGTGAATGTTTTATGAGCACTGAGCAGTAACTTACGTTACCATATACATTCTCCAATATGCAGTTTTTAACCGCTAGTTACATATAGCCTACCTTAAACACTTTAATTAGACGTAAAAAATTAAAATCTTGAATATGTGGTTGTGACATGTCGTCATATTTAATTTAATTTAATTTCACTTCGCCTGCTCATCCAGTCCTTGGAAGGTAAACGAATTTGGATTTCATTGAAGGACAAGCTCGCGCCCGAGACTCGAGCTTCAAGCTAACTCCAGTCCCGACTACGGTCAATTATAATAAAAGGATAAGATAGGGGCGAAGAGGAACAGCGGAATGACTGTCAGAAAGGCAGGTGGCTGTAATATGCGCTTGTCGTGTGATAATTGACAGGACGGAATGATATTTCACAACAGGCTGTTATGAAAGCCCATTTTCGCCACATAAAAAAACGTGTTTTTCCTAAATAATAAATGTCATTAAAAAGTAATATTTATAAGAAGAAAAGTTGGAAATTAAAATAAAAAGTCGAAATTATGAATTAGTAGATTAATCTTTTACTTTTTCTCATTATTATTCCTAGGCTATATAGCCTAATGTATTTTTATGTATTTCTTGTCATATGACTTAGTATGTCTTAGCATGTCATAATTACGACATTATGTCATAATTGTGACCTTTTTATGCCATAATTATGATTTACCAAAGCAAAATTCCATAGTGTGTCCAGTGCACCACCAATCTTCTGCAGTCACTATGTGTCCACCAGAAGGCGCTGTTTTAAAAGAGTTAATTATACAACACTAGTATTCAGGAATACAACAGCCTCTATGTGCCCGTCTATATTGAAGAACCTTTGTACGTATATATATGTGCGTGTGTGTGTATGGAAAATGAGAAGCGACCAAGGCCAAAAGAAAGTATTCAAAATATGTATTTTTTTTCCAGGGAAAAATGCAGCAGTTGAAAGAAGAGAAGAAAAGAAAACACACAGGCAGGTTTCCAAGCTTCTTTTACTGAGTGATGCATATTTCCAATCTGGCTCGGCGTGCCCGATCAGCATGCCAAACCAGAGCCTTCACCAAATGTGACTGTGAAAGCGCCTGTCTCCTGCGTGTCTAGACACTTTTTCTGCGAACTAGCCCAACTCGTTTTAGGCTTTCCATCACAGTGAGTAGCTAAAGTCAGTTTACCGGTCCCTTCATCTCTCTCTCTCTCTCTCTCCTTGTTCTTTGCTCAGTGACTTCTCAGTCATAATCATCATCATACATAAATACTCCTCCCTGCTCCCCCACCCCCGCTCTTTCTCTCCTCTCTTTAATCTGAGATAAAAACGAGTAGACAGACTCCTCCTCCCTTCTCTCTCTCTCTCTCTCTCTCTCTCTCTCTCTCTCTCTCTCTCTCTCTCTCTCTCTCTCTCTCTCTCTCTCTCTCTCTCTCTCTCTCTCTCTCTCTCTCTCTCTCTCTCTCTCTCCTCCTGTCTCCCTCTCCTGTGTTCTTCCCCTCTGGACTCTTCTTGTGTGTTGCTCTGATGGAAATGTGGAGGATCTTTCTGTCTGTCTCTCTTGTGGTCCAGCACAGTTCAGCTGAAGAAGGTATGAAACTTCCTTTGCTCCCCCTGGTGCTCTCAGACCCCCATGTGTGTGTGCGTTTTGGGGGCTCCTACTGTCCGGTCCGGTTCAGAGTGTGTGTCAACATGTGTATGAGTCTCTGAATGAGTTTGTAGGTCTGTTTGCGGTTCGAACAGTTTACTTTCATTAACATCTGCACATGTGATCGCTTTGGTGCATGTGTTAGTGTCAGTCTGAGGCTGAAGATCTGAACAGACCCTTGTACTGTATAATGAGTCGCTGTTTATGAGTTACTGTGAATTGAAGAGCTCTCTGTGGATCCTGCCAAGCTGCGTTTATGCTTAACAAAAGGGTGTAGAATAGAGCCAGCGGAGGGGTGAATAATTTGTTGTGTAACCTTTGTCTCTCTCTCTGACCCATGCAACCCCCCCTTCTCAACTCTCTGCCCCCTTTCTTTCTGATATTATAACTGTTATAAGCTCTCTCTTTCCCCAGCCCGTTCAACCCTGTGATAATACAGACACCCACTCACTCAATTCACTTCACAGTATATCTCTTTTTCTTTCTTTCTCTCTGTCTCATTTTTCTATTGGCTAAATGGTGGTTTCAGTCAATGCGTTGCAGACATGAGCCGTTTAAATATGGATTGATGAAGTTGGCATCTCATAGTGAGCTCTTGTGAAAAAGCTCTCAGTGACTCATTTTGTGTGTGTGTGCGTGTAAGGTATTTGGAATGCCAGAGTCTGTTATGAACATGCTTTTTCACAGAAGCTTATTTACCAGGTTTTTTTTTTTTCTAACTTATCTGAATCTGTTATTGTGCTTTGCATCTCTGCTCATATTAAAAAACGATATGAGACTGTATTCATTGTATAAAAAAAGTCAAAGGAACTATATCTACCTGATCTGACTGTCAAAAATTACTTTTTTGGTGAAACCAAGGAACATTGCTAAAATCGCGTTGCCCCAGGACTTTTGGTGATTATGAGCCCCTTTTCTCTCAGGTTCAATTGGTAGACTACCCTGCATAGTACTATATAGTCTTTTAGTGGGACACACACACACACACACACACACCCCTTCTACACAGGTAGTCAGGTTGATTCTATCTAGTTTCACTTGCATAATCACTGTTACCAATTGTTGTTAATAAATAAATTATAGTTTCAAAGTACTTTATTGGTATGATTTTTATACAATATTGCCAAGACATCAGTGCACTGCACGCACACAAAAAAGCAGTGACAAAAAAATAAAAATAAAAATAATAAAAAAATAATAATAATAAGGTGCCAGTTATGGTAGGTAGGAACTAGGAAGGTAAATAAATAACACTTTTATTCAGCAAGGTGATGAACATTTTATGTATAATGTTCAACACTGATAATAAATGTTTCTTGAGCAACAGATCAGCATATTAGAATGATTTCTGAAGGATCATGCA